ATGGTAAGAGATAAGTGCAAACAGTAAAAACCTAAAATACAAAGAATGAAATTTTCTAGGCCTTCACGTGTAGCGATTTGCCATACATTCTTCTGTATCCACACCCCAAGATGCCAAACTCGAAAAAATCGCTCTAGATGCGTGATGTTTTTCATATTCTATTTTTTGGTGTCATTAGATATAACATTTTTTCAGATTATTATATACCATTGGAAAGCATATAACATTATCTATCCTCTAGTATAAGCACAGTTTTATAAAAATAAATTTTCGCGGAGTGAGAAATCCGATAAAACTGATACATTTTTTGAGGTTTTTTGTGAATAACTTTTAGCTCGACCAATTGCCGACGTCTATACTATATGCATCTGATATATCTTTTTATTCCGCGTAATCTGATATATAACACATGTGGTTGTACCACTTGATTGGGTATATGAACGATTTTGAGGCTCTGCCGCCGCACTAATTCCTTTTAATTTAAATGCCTGCCTGACAACTTCACGGCCACCAGGATAAGCTTGTAGGACAGCGGGTGTTGCGTTGATCTGTAAGGAGATGACACCAAATTATTTTTGGGGCCAAAAAAGATGGGCTCGCCCTGTGCCAGTTTAAGAAGCAAAGGGTACCAAGGTTGTGATCGCCAGAATGGCACCACTATAACGCCTTCCGCTTTCTCTGCAACTACTTTATTAAGTGTTTTAAGAATAAGAGAAAACGGGGGAAAGGCATAAAAATTAAGCTTACTCCAATTGATTGTGAAAGCGTCGATTGCTTCCGCTTCGGGGTCTTGGTGCCATGTGACGTACTTGGCACACTTTCTATTGGCACGAGAAGCAAATAAGTCAATTTCAGGTTCACCAAAAACCTTACAAATATCTGCAAAAATTGCGTCATTTAATGCCCATTCCGTCTCCGGGGGCAAAATGCGAGAGGCTTGGTCAGCCTGCCAATTATCGCTTGATTTTATGTACGAGGCGACTAGCCAAAGGTCCCTTATTTCACACCATTGCCAAATTTCTTTGGCCAATGAATTCAATTTTTTAAACTTAACGCTTCCCATTCGGTTAATGGACGACAAGGCGGTAGTGTTGTCCGTTCGAACAAGAATAGAGATCTTGTTTAAATTTATTGCGAAATGTTTGAGTCCAAATAGAATGGCTTGAAGTTCCAAAAAATTTATATGTTCACTTCGCAATGACTTATCCCACCAACCAAACGTAGTTTTACCATTACAGACCGCGCCCCAGCCAGATAAACTGGCATCGGTGAAAATCTCTAAATCAAAATGGACCGCTTTTATGCTTTTAGTTGCCGTCATAATTTTCTCTTTCCACCAGACTAGATCTGACAATAAATACTTCGGAATAATCATATGCGCATCATATGAACCTTCACTCCGGCCAAGCGCAAGAAACTTTGCCCTTTCCAAATTTTTAGTATAAAGCCATCCATATTTTATAGCCGGACAGGCTGATACCAGGATTCCTAAGAATCTGGCAAATTTAACAATTTTACATCTATTGCAATGTAAGAAAAATTTCGCCCATTTCAAGATTCGCAAGCGTTTGTCCAAAGGTAATTCTATAGTCAAAGTTAGAGAATCAAATAAAAACCCCAAAAAAGTAAATCTAGTTCTAGGAATGAGCACGCTCTTCTTGTAGTTTACTAGAAACCCCAAGGAAGATAAAGTAGACAGAGTAAAATGTGTGTGCTTTAAACATTCTAATTTAGATTGACTTATTATCAAAAAGTCATCTAAGTAGTTTACACAAATTATGCCTTTATTCCGTAAGAATTCCATGATAGGCTTTAAGAGTTTAGTAAAAGTATAAGGAGCTGAAGTCAGTCCAAAAACTAAGCAATTAAATTCATAAAGTACCCCCTGAAATTCAAATCGTAGGAATTTCCTATGACTTTTATGAATCGGCAAAGCATAGTATGCATTTTTGAGATCAATGGACGTAGCAAAAGCACCTTTAGTAATCAAGTTTGCTACTGTCCTAAAATCCTCCAATTTAAAATGAGGAGCCAAAATGTGAGTATTCAACTTTTTGAGATTTAGGATAAATCGTTTTCTACCGTCCGACCTATTAGTCAAGAAAAAGTTTGAAACAAACTGGTCCCGGCGGGGTTTGCATTTGCGAATTGCTCCAATTTGGAGAAGATCGCGCAATTCTTCCTTGATCGCTAAGATCTCGGAACACGAGAAGCGAATAGGTCTAGCTACCGATCGCCCTGGATTACTGATAAAGGGTAACTTATAGCCCCTTACCCAGCTTAGGATAACTGAGTTGGGGGTCAGCTGCGCCCAAATAGAAAAGAAGGACTTAAGCTGTCCGGCATAACGCTCAGCACTCACCTCTACTCCTTTCTCTTCCGCTGCACTTCGCGGAAAGGTCTCAAGTTCTCCTTTCGAGACTCCCCTCGAGTAGACCGGAAGGGATGCCCTTTCGCTGGCCTCGTCTCTACTCGTTGACGGGCCGGGCGCACAAAGTTTAAATTTGAGGGTCCATGAATAGCTTGTCTCTGCGTTGCTACCCCTCCGGAAGGCCTACGAGACGTAACCGGGTTGTATTTTGGTTTCAAGTCTCTGCTTAAAGATTCCAAACTCTTAGCCGTCTTTATCTTATCCCCTAAATCTGCGCCGAATAAAAATTCGGACGGAGGCGCTTTCTCAATAAGGTTTATGACGTTCTTATTGATTAGCGGACTTAATAAGTTTTTACGGGTAACCGAAACTCGATGAAATGCGTTGCACAAAATCTGTGCGGACTCCGAAAGGTTCGTGAGTACTTTTACCTTCAGAGGGACAGCCACCGAATTGTCCTCTAAGAGAAGGTTGGCGCATTTGCCGATAGCGCATAACCCGGAACCTATTTGTTTCTGGACCCCTACGTGGGAGTTGTCCACCGCCAAATCCTGCTTTTTAAGTAGGGGCGTCAGTTCCACATTTAATTTAGGTGGAATCAATTCCGGTAAGTTGGAAGGTGCGCTGTTGGAATTGGAGAGGTTTGTAAAATCCTCTTTATTCAAACCATTTAATAAAATGCTTTATGACAGACAAAGATTTGTTACAGAGGGATGTCTTAAAAGAAATATTTTGTGGTGTTCCAGTGTTGGTTCACGTTCTAAAAACTTTTAAAAGAACTGTGACAACTTCGAAATATGACATTTCATCATCAGAACGTGACACATGTTTAGAACTTTTAAATAAGTTAGTTTATAGTCATTCAGAAAATGAATACGATGAACTATACATTGTGTTCTGTGACACTTGCCCGCCAAGTGTAGCTGAGTATTTTAACAAGAACTGGCACAACATTAGATGCGAATGGACTTGTTACAGCATGGTACATGGTAATTTAAGAAATCGTACCAACAATAGATTGGAGTCATTAAAACAAAAAATTAAAGACGTTGTGCCACGAAATAGCTCTTTATGTTTATTTCTTAAACATTTTTTAAATTGGTTAAGATCTCATTGTGAAGAGCGAAATAGTAAAGTTGCAAAAATTATCTTGAAGAGACCAGTTACACAATTTGATGAAGACAGCTGTGAAAAAAAATATTTGGATTTTCTAACACCTTATGCATACCTATGGATATGTTCTAAAGCAAATTAATCTCAGTAAGAAAGTAGCTATAACTGAAGATGATGAACAATACAAGGTTAAAGTTAAAGACATTATGATATCAGTACATACTGCTACCTGTGAATGCTCCGACTTCTTATCAATGTTTTTACCATGTAGACATATATTATCTTTAAGAAACTATCTGAAAATGGATTTATTTTGTGAAGAAGCTTGTGCGGAAAGATGGAGAAAACAGTTTTATCTAAAAAGTCATAGAGTGTTAAATGACTCGCATATAGAGAATGTGCCTTCATATTCAGTTACAAATGTGAAAACTGCGAAAATTCTGAACCCAACCGAGAAACGAAAAAGAGCAAATTTGATTGCCAATGCTATTGTTAGTATAGCTTGTCTTTCTTCAAATTCACAGTTTGAATATAAACTTGACTGTTTAAAAAAAATTGAACTTTTGTGGAGGCAAGGCTATGAGGTATATTGTCTTTTTTTATAGGCATGCATTCTTTTGTGATCTACATTGACTTATTTTAGGTAACGATTAATAAAGTAAGCATGAATGAAGATGAAAGTGAGCACTCGGAATTATTACTTGACGAAATTGTGATGAATGAAATCCCAGAAACTTCTACTATTGGGAGAAATTTGAATATTTCCATGATCACGCAAGGTGCAGAAAATTGTGGTGCTTCTAATAATGCCACAGTTACTCAAAGTATGCACAATTTAATAATTAGGTAATTACTTTAATTCAATATCAACATTTCTAGATTCGTATGTTTATGAAGAAAGAGTAAGAATCTGTAAAATGGATCAAAGTACTGACATTTCTGCCTGTGACTCATGTGAGAATACGAAATGTCTTATTATTACTCTATCTCAAGCTACTACTACACTTGTCAATTTATTCGTGGATTAATTCACGAAGTCACTTCACGAAGAAATTACCAAATGTAATACACCGACTTGCACGCAAAAAACTTCACGAAGAACTTCGTGAATTTCTTCACAAAATGAGAACGTGTTCTATTTTTTGTCAATTTTAACTGTGAAGTTCAGTGCTACCAACCAACTTAAAATTTTGGTAATGAGAGGGAGAGCAACGTCTACTGCTTGCAAGTTTATTTTGGGGAAACGTTTAATAAAAAGCTGGATGGCACGCCTGATCCAGTGACAGTCATGTCCAACAACTTCACGAAATTCTTCACAGGTGTAAAACCAAACCCCGGCGCGAAGAAATTGACAAAGAAAACTTCGTGAATTAATTGACAAGTTTAATGCTAGCTTAAGATTTTAAAATTAATCCCTTATTTTATTGTTGTAGTTAATGTTAATGATTTAAATGAAATTCCTACATTAGAGAATGAACATACTGTTGCCAGTGCCAGTGCCGGAACTGATTACAGTGAAGCTGTTTTTACGGAAACTCAAGGTTGGTTCACTTACAAATTATTAATCACTTACATTACTTTCTATTATTTTAGTTGATGATTTGTCTACTATCATTATGCCCAGTAAGATTAAAAAACGAGGTAGGACTAAAGGGTCAGAACAAACTGTTATTGGCTTGAAAAAAAGAAGGACCATTAAGATTCCAACAAAATTTACGTTGAAATCAGAAACCATGCAAAAAACTCAAATTCTCAGAGAAATAGTTTCAAATGACGATGCCATAAAACAATGCTTAGAAGGAGAATATAAAATTAAAAACATCGACTTGAAAGATTTTAAATGTTTGAGACATGTCATTTTCGATCCATCATTTAATTTGGGTTTAGTTAAGGATTTGTTTGAACTAGGGGCTTTTGAAAATTTAATAGACTTTATTGAACACAACAAGGAAAATCATGAATGGTGTTGTGCCACTTGCAACAATGCAATTGCCCAACTAAAAAGCATATGTTGCGATAGCTGCTTGATGTGGTACCATTTTCGATGTGTAGGATTAGCAAAGACCCCAATCAGAAGAACATGGTTCTGTCGGGAATGTTACTGATATTTAATATGCTAAAAAGTAGTAGTATTATTTTTTAAATTTTATTGTAGCATTTCATTAATTTAAATGGTAGGTATGTCATAAAGCCGCAAGTGTTTATTTTTGTATTATATTTGTTTTAAGTGTATATTACATAATTACAAATGTAAACCTATCTTTTCATATGGAAATCCTTATTCCCTTGGGTAAATTCCTCATAAATGTATAAATAATACTATAGGTAATTTTAAAGATATACTTGGCTTGAGCTGCTTCAGCTAAAACTTTAACTTACAATTTGTGTAAATTTTAACAGAAGGGTTGATCGAGATCCAACTCGTGAACATTGTCTTTGTAGCTGTCATTTCAAAGGTGGTAATAAATCCGTGGGTCCAACGATTTTTCCATGGAATAAGGAGGGAACGTGGAAGTTCCAATGCCCAAAAAACGTGCAAGGTATGCTTCACTATTAGAACAGACATCCAAACGGCAAATTAAATTTATTTCAGAAGAAGGTGTCATTCTAAAGATGAGTAAGTTCCACATTCTGCATTAGAAGCAGAACTGAACATTGATGAAGTATCAGAAGCTGGCCCGTCAACGTTGTTCGTGTACCCAGCTTTAGACTCGGCAGAAATACATTTTCTAAAAGAAGAAAATATAACTCTCAAAGAATGCTTAAAGAATTATTAATGTCATAAAACCTTATGAATTTGTTTAATAACTATTATCATGTGTATAAATAAACACTACAACTACTTATTCTATTAATTTAAGTAATAATTTGTTTTCATCGATTTCTCCAGTAGGTAACTGTCTTGGAAAGTTCCAAAATCTTTACTTTACTTCTGTATGCAGAGTTACCTGCTCCAGAGACAATAGCCAACAAAAGCCGGAAAACCTAAAAACATGTTTAAAAACTTTTACCTTCAAGATTACAAAATCCTCACCTGTTTAATGATTTAAGTTGAGTATAAAAGAATTCCTTATCCGCTGCATCCACATTTCGATTTGTAGAACGATGTTGACGTTTCGGGAACAAATCTTTTCCAGACAGATGCAATCTTTTCTGGTCCACTACTAGTTGGAGGCCTTTTCATTCGTATATTTTGTCGATTTTAATAAAGTTTTTGTTGAAGTACAATAAAATTGCAGCAACGTGATGGTAATTAAATTGTACTCATGCACAATGACTATAGTTCCATCTGTATGCTTCCATTACGATCTCAATTTATCTAAAAAGAATTTCCTAGCTCCATTATATTAATAAACTTGGTCAAACTTTCCCACAAATTACATTTGAGTCCTGTAAACTCAACTTCAATTATATACCCATTCTCTAAACAATTCTCCCCTTTCTTTACTACACTAATTTCATCCGCAAAGGTCTAAGATATTCGACAACGTCACTAAAGCCATGGCTCTGTCACTAAACAAAAATAAACAAATGTAATGTAATAATGTTGTTGTTACCCATCAGCTGATCCACAAGCTAATTGTGACGTCATAACTTCAACTATGACGTTTCCGTGCGGCGATCATGAAACAAAAGCCACACGCTAGCGTGCGGGTAGTAACGGCGATTTTTAAATTATACTGCAGGTATAATAAAAAATACTATAAGATACACGTGTATAATTGGTATTTAAAGCACTTGCAACGTTAAAGGCACTCCGCTTTGCGTCGCGTCGTGCCCTTAAACTCGTTGCGCGTGCTTTAAAGACTTGATTATACACTTGTATCTTAATATACTATTTTTATATGCTGTCGTAATTTAATACGCGCTCCTACAGAAGGGACTAATTCTTATGCGTCGTCTATTTGATCCAATATATCAGGAGTGATATCATTATCTATAAGATAATTAGCATAATCAATATAGGTAAGTATAGTATGCGTGATCATAATTTAACCGATATTGTGTTTTGTATATGAAATGCACAACCCGACATTATGCTCTTTATTTTTGTCAAGATAGGTAGTGCGTCAAAATAATTTAGAGATAAAAGTTGTAAATTCATGAATCAGAGTTATCAGTCAGGTATATTCAGAAATATAAAAGTTTACTTACCCAAAAAAGACCTAATGATTTGTTCTGTACAATTCCACTCACGCAATAAATCTTCCATTTCGTCTACGCACTAACTGAATTACTAAACTAAATGAGTAAGTAACCTGCAATGGGCAAATGTGCCACTCTTGAGAGTAAAAATACCGAAAATGCCTTTGTCATCAACTTGCACATTCCGTGCCACGCTTGAAATGAATAGCTTCATTATGATGTAAGTTTTCATACATCTCATCAAAATGAACCTAAGTTACGATTATAATTGTCGCAATTCTCAAGATGAACATACAGTCATAAGATATTGTCATCTTAATACTACTTTTTAGCGTATTATCACAGATAAACATAACAATTGTTGTTATATTCATTAGGATAACAATCACAACTTTTATTATAGAGCTGATCCTTTGCAAGTATGAAAACTATTAAAAACATCAGTCTCAAAACAATAGTACCCTCTCTAAAGCAGATCACATTTAATTTTCGTTCTGAACTTAACTGTATTTCATTTGATAATAGTTTTCAAAATTAACGTAGTCTCATGCTATACGATTGACAAGATATACAATAAAGAGTATTATTTTCATTCTAAATATATCATCGTGATAATTGTAATATTATTCTTATGGTTCTAGCCTTTTTTGTGTGCAAATCTAGCGATATAAAGGCTGGTTTATGCAGTAGAATTTGACGTAATGTAATTTAAGGAATTAGCGTAGTGTAATTTTAATTTAAGGTGACGTTTATGCATAATTTTTTAATGGAATTTAATAATATGTACGCCTGCGCGTTATGTACGTTGTTAACTTCACAGCAACAAGTTTGACGTGACGCCATTTCACTTCACACTTGTTTACAAGTCGGTTGTGTTTTTGCGATTGTAATTTTTTAAGTATTTTTGTGTGTTTAGTTGTTTTTACCATGGAAGATGGCGAATTAATCGACCAAGTGAGGCTGTTTTCCCACTTGTACGATAAAAGTAACAAGCTTTACAAAGATAGTTCGGCAATAAAAAATGCCTGGGAAACAATTTCCCATGTTTTGGGAAGTACAGGTAAAAGATCAAAGTGTAGTATTCCTTTAATAACATTATACTTTATAGTGGAAGACTGTCAACGTAGGTGGGCTGTACTGCGAGCACGTTTCAACGCGGAGCGGAAGAAGTATACTCCATCAGGGGCCGCAGGCGATACTTCGTCATGGGTATACTTCAACGCCATGTCGTTTTTGACCGAGCACGTTACTCAAAGAAGGTAAAGTATTCACAGTAGTCAATTTTAAGTTGCTGTCATTGTGCTTTTAATTAGAACTAAGAGAAACATACCTGCCGCCACTTCATCATGTGCTGCGGAGAAACAGAAACTGAATCCCTGGGAATCGTTTTCCATCATGATTGAAGGGGAATCTGAGGAGTTTGAGGAAGATCCTCACGTCAATCTCCTCTCACCCACTTCATCGATGTCAAGGACTAGCACTTTAACACAGCAGTCCGCTCCTTCACCTACAGAACGGCCGACAAAAGCAAAGTCTCAGAAAAAGGTGGATGAGAATGTCAACAAAACCATCCAACAAGCAATGGGCACGTTGGATGGCTACATGACTTCCAAAGCGCATCAACCAACAATGCCCACGGAGGAAGACCGGGACATGTGCTTCGGGAAAATGGTGGGCTTAGAATTAAAAGAAATTAAGGACGAGAACAAAAAAAAAGAATTAAAACGTCAAATTTTACAAATTTTATATAGTTAGTTATAAGTAGTTATAAATATTTCTTAGCATAAAACTAGTTCTAAATAATAATGTAGGTGTAAATTTATAAAAATATAATAAGTAGTTATTAAAATGTGTTTGGCAAAGCTCCTCTCCATACTCTATCCTCTTGCCAAGCTACAGATCCCTCTGGTGAGTTTACATATGTACAGAGTCTATCACGCAGTATTTTATAATTTACTTTGGGATTATTTGATCCCACTCGACCTATTGGTCGAAGACATGATTGTGATGAATCATCTCTCCAACCACCAGGTGCAATGGTACCATCGCTTTTACAACTGTCTGTAAACCCTGGAGGACAGTATTTGTGTTCGGATGGGGGTGCCACATCTTCAATGTGCTTGATAAAATTGTGCCGCACGACACAACTTAATATTATGTCCTCACAAAGGTCAACATTCGCAATAATTGGCCGTCTTAATATTCTCCAACGTTGGCTTAGAATACCGAACGCATTTTCTATTGTTCGCCGTCCCCTTGAAAGGCGGTAATTGAAAATCTTCTGTTGTTCTGGCAGTCTCTCCCCAGGATACGGTCGCATAATATTTGTATGCAAAGGAAAGGCTGCATCGGCGGCAAAGAAATACGGAAATTGAACAGTACTATTTGACAAATTTGTCGTAGGTGGCAAATCCAATGTATTATTCAGAATTTCTTTGCCAAATTGCGACGATCTAAACACAGACGCGTCATGATCGCCACCTGGGGCTCCTACATCCACGAATGTAAATGTAGAACTAGCATCACACGCTGCCATTAAATTAATACTGAACGTCTTTTTGTAGTTGAAATAAATTGAACCACTCATTGGCGGTGCCTGAATAACAACGTGTTTGTCGTCAATAGCTCCCACGCAGTGCGGCAAATTCCATTTTTTTAAAAACTCCTCCGATATTTCCAGCAGTAACTGTTGCGTCGGTGGTTTTAAATAAATGGGTTGTAGCACACTCCAAAGAATGTGGTTTCCCTTATAATAATTGCAACCGTTGCTTTCCCCAACATATGGCTATATGCAAGCTCTTGCATGGAACAGCCTTCCGATAGGTACCGTAAAATGGGGCAAAGTCGATCACAAAATGTGAGTTTTTCCGTTTTTTTTCCGCAATTATCATTACTTTCATAACCACACCCCCCTATATCAGTTGCTCATTGCTTTGAGTAACAATTGTGACTAACAACTTTGAGTTTTAATAAATATTAACAATAAAAAAAAATAAATATTTATGGTCGACTTTACCCCACCTTTGGGCAAAGTCGATCACCACTTGATTTATGTGGAAATCGACTTTAAAACGTAATAGGGGTAATGTCGATCACTATTAGAATTTTTTAAAAAAAATTTTCCACCCTTTGAAATGAAGTAGGTACAAAAAATAAACAGTAAATCAGTATTCTAAATTATAATCTGGCATACTAAAATAAAATCTTCCTCTAACAACGCGTTTTAAACAAAGCTTAGAAACAATATCCTCTTTTGCAACAGTTTGTTTGTCTTGTACATGAGGAAAGTAATGTATGTGCCCTTCAGAGTTTGTTTTCTAAAAAAATTAATTGTGAATTCTTGTGCCATTAGGGGAAGGTGTTCTAATATCGACCACCTAAGACCATTGCCGAATTAAAATAAAACTCTCTGGATTTTTGACGTTTTTATTTCATAAACACATGGCCGCCGGCAAGGGGGGTCAGGGAGGGTCCACCGACCCCCCCTGGAAATTTACACCTTAAGATAAAACCGTCTCAATTCATACATTTTGCAATATTGTACGACAATCCAAAATTTTACGTTTAGTTAAAATGTTAAAAGAAAATAAAACACTAAAATTGCATTGTGCAAAACTTCCACAAAGACATTGGTGGCGCCAAGGACCGGTCCGCTATCAACACAGAAAGGGTCAAAGGGAGTAAAATAAAAGGTGCTAACCAACCATTCAATTCAATTACGGTTTCTAGGTACAATATCCCGAATATCCGTAACGTAATCCGGTGGTGCGCCGCCGGTGCGCCGCCGGTGCGCGTCACGCGTGCGAATGAGTAATGAATGTCTAATGTATGAGTGTATGACTGTATGAGTGCAAAAGGATTTGTGGAAAAGGCTAGTCAGTCAGCTGAGTCAGCACTGACTGAGCAATGAGCATGAGCATTGAGCAACAAACATTATTAACCATCATAGGGTTCATTGCTTCATTCCGCATTCCGCATTCGTCATTAAGATATTAGTTAGACCGGTACGGTACCATAGTGCGAACTTTGTTTTTGTTGTACGTTAAGTTACGTTAAAGTTTTATTTAGCAAGTATTCTTTAATAAATAAGTTGGTATAGTTATCGATGTGTGAAAGATTGTGACTTTTTTGGGATTTGGCTAAACTCTAAATAGTGTAAATTTTGAACTGTGGTTACGCTTACGCTAGTATTATTTCTTGTGGATAATAGGTAAGTAACGTTTAGCAATTTAGCATATACAGTCGTCTGTTCTGTTCTGTGGGAAAATTGTTATAAAGAATTTTATTTAAAAAAAAATTGTCTATTTTTATTTCGTTTTTTTTTGTAGATTTGTGACAAAGATGGATATTAGAAAATTTTTAATATCTGAACAAAATTCAAATAATGTTAAGGATGATGGTATAGCAATAGCTAGTAGCAGTGGTATTGGTTCTGAGTTACCTACTGAGGTTTCCAAGAAAAGCAATAATTCCAGTAAATCAGGATTAGGTAAAAATAATGCGAAAAGGCTTGTCAGCTTATATGATTTCTTTTTTAGAAATGGTGTCGCCTCAGGATGTTTCGAATATTGAGGTTGATATTTTTCATCATAAATTCGACTTGGGCAATTTTGTAAACCCACAAAAGCCGATATCAGATAGTATAAAATTTGATCTGATAAAAAGTCCGTTTAAACCCAGCATTAATTATAATTTTAAAGGCGACTCAAGGGAGGGAAAAAGTAAAAGAGCATTTCGATACGAATGGTTTCAACAATTTGAGTGGTTGGCGTATTCCTCCAAGTTAAAAGGGGCTTTATGTAAAAACTGCGTTATTTTTCGACCTGCAGTAAATAGAGGCGTACAAGGAGCATTTATAGTGAGGCCTTTTATAAAATATAATGATTTTATTGCATCTGCAAAAGCTCATAGTACTTCTGATTGGCACAAGCAATCAACAGTTAGAGCTGAAAACTTCATTAAATCTATTGAAGGTAAAACTCTACCTATAATTGACCAAATTAGTAATGCAGAACGGGAGTTAACAGAGTTAAATAGGAAAAAGCTGTACCCAATTATTTCGACGATAATTTTTTGTGGCACACATGACTTACCTTTACGTGGTACCACAAAAGGTAACTTTGAAGACCTTCTGGATTTTAGAGTGGAAAGTGGGGACCAATTATTGAATGAGCATTTAACTAGTTGCAATAAAAATGCAAAATATACTTCACATCAAACCCAAAATGAATTGATTTCAATCTGTGGATCAATAATTAGAAAAGAAATCGTAGAAGAGGTTAATGCAAGTGATGGATTTTCCATTATTGCTGATGAAAGTGCAGATATAGCCGGTAAAGAACAACTTTCGCTTGGTGTTAGATTTGTAGACAAAGCAAACAATATAAGAGAAGAATTTTTAGGATTTTCTGAGCTAACCACTTTAAATGCTAATGGGATTTCTAATACAATCTTAAACTTTTGCTTAGAACATAATCTGAATATGGACAAGCTGGTTGGTTTGGGATTCGATGGTTGTTCAACAATGGCAGGACATGAAAACGGCGTCCAAAAAAGAATTAGGGACAAATATCCAAAAGCTACCTTTTTCCATTGCGCTTCTCACAAGCTAAATTTAGTAATTAATGACCTAAATAGGATACAGGATATCCAAAACACCGCTGCGACCATCAAAGAAATAATAAATTTCTTTCGAGATAGTCCATTACGAAGAAAATACATTCCTAATTTACCATTATTTTCGGAAACGCGTTGGTCGGCAAAATATAAATCTATTAGAGTGTTTGCTGCAAATTTTGTAGAAATCACAAACGCCCTTGACACATTAGCGTTTAGTTCAGATGTTAATATACAAACAAGAACAAAAGCTAATCAGCTTTTGACTAGCGTATCGGCTTCAAAATTTATTGTTTGCTTGTTTATTATGGCAAAATATTCAAGTAAATTGGAACCAATTTGCAATATATTGCAATCTAAAGAAATGGACTTACTTTTAGTAAAAAAGCATGTAGACGAACTTCTTCAGATATTGAAGTCACAAAGAAATGATCCAGATAAGTATTTTCATGAAATATATGAAAAATGTGTGGATTACGCCAATAAATTTAAATTAGAAATTACAGTACCACGAATAGCATCTAAACAAACACAACGAGCTAACTATGTATTAAATGGAACTGAAGAATACTATAAAGTTTCCCTGTTTATCCCATATATGGACTCTATAATACAGTCTATTTCTCTCAGATTCTCTGCCGATACCAGTACCGCATTTTTACTCTCGGAAATACATCCCAGAAAATTAGGAACAGAACTCATACTTAAGCAAGATGAAATTTCTCAGAAATATGATCTTGAAAACTTTGCAGCAGAAATTGAAACGTGGATAGAACTTTGGAAAACAAAGACAGTTGATGAAAACCTAGGATTTCAAGAAATTCTTGATCATGAAGTACATTTTTTCCCATCAATTAAAAAGGCGATAAATATATTTTTAGCGTTGCCGCCAACGAGTGTTACCATTGAAAGGTCCTTCAGTACCATGCGACGTGTTAAAACCTGGTTACTATCAAATTTTACATAAAAAAAAAAATATTTTTTGGTCGATATTACCCACCGCCACGGGGAATATCGACCACTAAGGTGGGAAATATCGGCCATTTTTTTATTCGCTTTTCCCATCACATTTGACGCACTTTTTGAAATCTTCTGGTCGGTCAAATTCTGTGCATGCTGAGTGCGACCATACAGCGCATCCACGACATCTCCACCATGTTTCGGATATTCCAAAATCGCCACAAACTGGACAAACATCGTCAGTTTTCTTCTCCAATTCAGGCTCGAGTTTAGAATGTGTAAGTTTTATCTTCTTGGTTTTGGCTGGACCATCCAAATCCACTTTCCTCTTAACCGATGCTGTTTTTTTTTGCATTTTTTTAGCCCGTTCTAATTCTTTTTTTTCTAATTCTCCTTTCAGTGGAGTAGAAGTAAGGATTTTAGACGTCTGCTTCTTTCTATTGCTGCTCCTCAATGCTTTCGGTTTAGGAATTTCATAAATTTCTTCAAGTGACTTGTTGAACCGTATGGACTGGTCTTCATCATCAGTTGCCTCCGGATCGAAAACTGTAGTAAGCTGTGAATCAGAGTCGTCACTTGAGGATGAAGAGTGCCGCGCTGCTCGAGAATATTTCGATGGAATCCGCTTCCGCGTTTTCTTTCTTTGAATGCCACTGGGACCGGGGATAGGTTCTTGAATCAAATCACGATCATCGTTTAAATCTTCAGGAACAGTTTCATTTTCCGGGCTAATGGGTGCCATGGGTTCTTGCATAGGACCATGATCATCGTTTTGAGGAAGCGTTTCATTTTCTGGGGCAGTATTCACAAACTCCTCTTCGCCAAAGATATTCCTGTTGAGGGGAAAGATTCCTGTAACCTCAAATCCTTTTATTCCCTTTTCAGTTGTAGTTATTCGGTTATAAGCTTTGGCGAATAATTCTGCAATCTTTGTCACAACATTCTGAACAAAATGGTTGGATTTCATGTATTGGTCGCATTCTTGACTGTATGCTCCTTTCAACGAACTAAAAAATGTTACATCGAGGGGTTGAAGTCGATGCGATGTGTGAGGTGGCAATGAAACGATCACAATGCCGTTTTCACGACAAAAATTGTAAGATTTTAAACCGGAATGTGTACAATGATTGTCTAAAATCAGTAAAACTGGATCCTCCTTTGAAACTTTCGTGAATACCGCAAAATGCTGCAACCATTCCAAAAACAAATCTTCAGTGATCCAACCGGAACTGGAACACCGATATATGGATCCAACTGGTCCGTTTCTGTCAAGCCCTTCCTTCATCCTTTCTCGTTTGAAAATGAATAAGGGAGGCACATAAGCACCTGAGGCACTCATGCAACAAACCACTGTAGTGGTTTGTCCACGCTCTCCACTTGTGATCGCTCCGACTTGCTTACGGCCTTTCTGTGCAAGTACACGAGAGGGTTTATGCACCGTAGTTATACCTGTTTCGTCTACATTGAAAATCCTATTTGGAAGGAAATGATGTTTTTCCATAACTTGCTCCAGGTTGTCATAAAATAAATTTACAGCAGTGCGATTGAACGCAAGCACTCTGTTTAAACTAGTTGCCTCGGGTCGTCTTAAAGAAATTTGAGGATTACGGCGTAAAAACCCATACAGCCATTCTTTTCCGCACATTTTCTTGTCACAATTAAAATTATGTTTGATGTTGTTAGACGCTGCAAATTCAAAAGCAATTTGTCTGATTTGTTTTGGAGTAAGTCCGTAATACAGATTTGCTAATTTCAAAACGTAGTTACTTAGTTCTGCTTCTTGTGCTTCCGAAAATACTGATTTTCTTCCAAGTTTAATCTTTTGTGCTGGGTATCGACTCTTCAAGCGATCTTGCAAGGTGCCATATGGAATGTTGAATAATTTGGCAATATTCCGTATTGAGGTTTGTTTTTTGTCTACCGCTTTTAAAGCGCGAGCTATGTCTGCTTCATTCCACGACGATCGAGCTGTTTTACGCACGTAATTTCTTGGCATCTGAAAAAAACACGTTGTTTAATTAACTGTCCAAACGACGGGTAATTTCGATCACCAGCGGGTAATACCGACCATTGCGGTCGATATTACCCGCCTTGACAAAGCCAAATATTTGTTTAAAAAAATCATCCTAACCTCAACATTTGAAGCTCATATTTTTACTGATATATTTCATCAATGTGTAGTAAACATTCTATATCAAAAGAAGTAAAAAACTAGCAACATTAGAAATTACCTACCTTATTGAATATGCTGTATACTTTATAAGAAAATCACCCAAAACAAATTTCACAACGCGAAACCTTCATACAACAAAACTGTCACTGAATCTGCATACCACGTGCGTGTACCGAGAGATAGACAACCCAAACAGCATTTGAGGATGTTGCCAGCATTATCGTTTCTCTAATAATAGGGTGGTCGAAATTGCCCGCTGGTCGATATTGTACGCCGCTCCCCTATCACTAATATTCGTCACTTCTCCTGCAAAGAATTTTGTTTTCTTGTTGTTTTCACAGAGGAAAGTAACCGCAACATAATCACCAGTGCTAATATTTTTGTCAGCTTCTGGATTATCCACTTGATTTTCATTTTGGTCCTGCATCTCAATCGCCATTTGATTTTCTAAGAGTTCTATGTAATTCTCAGGGTCATTTGATTCATTTACCACTTGGTCTTGATTCTCAATCGGTTCAACCTCTTTGCTGCAACTTGGTTGGTTACCATCAGTAAGATCTTCTGCTCGAATGCTGACTCCGGGTTTCAAGCCTCTTCCCCTTCGTTTTGTTTGCTTAGTCTCAGGAAATCTTCTTTTTTCTAAATGCTCAACTAAAGCATTGGTCCAATGTCCATTTTCAGCAGCGTCTTCACCCACTCCCAAAGGTAAACGCTTCAACACCTGCTCAGGATTGCAAGGCACGATTCCACACGATTTAAACCCAGCCAATATGTTTTCGTGGGATCTAATTCCAACTTCTTCTATGGCCGTTTGTAATAATTTGGGGAATTCCGTTTTAGGAAAAACACCTCTATTTTTCTACTTCCACGAATTCAGCACTTTTCTCCAAGCGCCCTTGAGTGGCCTGAAAAATCCTACATCAAGGGGTTGACACAAATGCGTAGAATTAGCAGGGAGTAAAACAAATTTAATGCCATTTTTCTCGCAAATCTGAATTACATGCATTGAAATGTGACTTGACAGGTTGTCACAAATGATAACTTTGTCTCCTTCAAGTCTCCTGAAGTAGGTAACCAGAATTATTTCCACAAAATCGGAAAATATGTCTCCATCGAACCAACCACTGCTATTCGCACCATAAACAGCATTTGGAGGACCATTAGCACACCATCCAGGGTAAACTTGTCGTGCCTTGTATAAAATATAAGGGGGCAACATTTGTCCATCCCCTGTTATAGACATCATTACGTTAACACTTGACTTGGAATGGTCAATCACTCTTTCAGAGTGGCGTGAACCTCTCTTTATGACCACTTTCACAGATCCTGGATCGTCTGTGAAGTTTGTTTCGTCAATATTCACAATGTTTTTTTCAGGGGTATCCTTTATGGTTTGTGCCAGATTGGAGAAATAATCTGCTATAACCTCACGTGACACATCTGCACGAGCTCTTTTTATATTTTCGGATAATCGGACACTCAAATTTGTATTATGTTTTTTTTATAAACGTTCGCACCCAATCTGGTCCTGGTTTATTGTCATGAAATCTTTTTTCTGTTACACCTTTTCTGTTGAGATAACTCTGAACAACACTAGCAATGTCTTTTACAGTAAAGGGAAAACCATAATTGCCAAATAAAATTAATGCATCGACCAACTTCTGTTCTTCTGAAGAACTAAGAGCTTTTGGCCTGCCATACTTTCTAGGATGTCTGCCACTAATTCTGTCATTGAGTGTACTGTAAGGAACTGCGTATATTTCAGAAGCTTTTCTTATAGAACATCCCTTTTGTTTTACGTCCCTTATGGCACGTTCCATGTATTTTTCGTCATAGTTTTTTTTGCCCTCTGCTCCAACTTTTTTTTGTACGTGCGGACCATTTTTACGTTTTATACTGAACTAACCTATAAAATAAAGAATACTGACGTAGGTAGGTAGGTAGGTACCTACTTAAGATGAAGTTAAACAATTTACTAACAGTAAACCGGTATTGGGGACATTAAACAAAAGTGATCGACTTTTCCCGTTTATAGACAGAGATAGAATTTTGTTTGGGCATACAAACTATTTAGGAACTATTCTGTAATTGTGCGATAGTAAGTGACTCAGTAATAACATAAGTCATGCAGGATTTATCGTAAAAAGCAATTAATAAAAATTTGTGAAACTTACAGGGGTCATACACATCACCACACAAAAAATATGCCAACTTGCGTTTTACTAATTAAACTTTTTATGCAGCAAACTTGTCATCTAACCGTTATAGGGTAAAGTTGGGATATATGCCCCACTTAAGCAAATTCTTTTATAAAATCATTACTTTGAAATAACTAACCTATAGTAAAAGTGAACACATATTACGAGGTATATCCAGAAACTAAGTTCCGTTTGGTAATAAAAATAATTTGTCTACAGATACCTACAGAAAAAATATTTATTGCACTAAAATTTACAACTCTTAAGCTACTTTTCTACATAACTGCCGAAATTTTGCAGGCATTTGTCATAGCGTGGCACAAGTTTTTCTATGCCTTCTTCATAGAAGTTTACCGCCTGTGTCTTCAACCATTCGGAAACATTTTCTTTCAGCTCTTCGTCATCGTTGAAGTGTTGACCGCCAAGGAAAGACTTCAGATGTAAGAACAGATGATAGTCGCTAGGAGCTTTTCGGTAACAATTTCATGAATTAATGATCGTGAGATTTGGGGGAATTCCATAGCGAGAGCACTCATTGTAAACTTACGGTTTTCCTTGATCTTCTCATCAATCGTGTGAACCAGTTCTTCTGTAATCAAAGATGGACGCCCACTTCGTTCTTCATCATGCACTTCATTACGTCCTTCATTAAACTGTCGGACCCATCTTCTCACCATTGAATCACTCATCGCATTTTGTCCGTAAACCTCGCAAATTTGCCGATAAATGTCAATCGGTTTCACTTTCTTAGCATTCAGAAAACGTAATCACAGATCTGATTTCACAAGCGGCGGGATTTTCGATCAACACCGACATTTTAAACAAGCACAACAAAGCGTACGAGACTGACAGCGATCTCAAAATGGCGCACGTTTCTTCTCCTTGATACAGAGAGTCTGCCGCGCATGCGCGGAACTGCGATCGCATCGCTGCAGCGGATATAAATGGAAACGGAACTTACTTTCTGGATATACCTCGTATTAATTAATTCTTTTACTAAAGAATAAGCTCCAACATGCGATAATATCAATGCCGTCATGATTATTTGTCATAAACAATCGTACTGTAAATGGCCATTTATCCCACATGTGTGGTAGATATGCCTTAGGATATATGCCTCAGTTAAGGGTTAGACGCCCTAGTACTAAGAAATAGGTAGCTGTTACACCTATGATTCACAAATATCCACCCAACCTCAATCCTAAAAACAATACAAATGGATACAAAAACCAAATAAAAAATATTTAATGAAATGAACTCTTAATACAATACAAATGATAAGGTTTTACATTATTTCTTACACCAGTTTTCGTTTGCATATCTCCAGCCTTTTAAGTTTTTTGCCACAATCGTTACACTTGTTACCATACATGATACACGATTCATGTAACCAGTTGTTACACTCCACACATTTAATCCAATCCACTTTTTCTGTGGTTTGATAATAGTCTTCAAGACACTCAACACAATTGCAATTTTGCTGGTTCTTATTGGTACTAGTCTCTTTTTTTTTTAATTTTTAGTGTTATTATTTTTGACTTTCTGCCCTTTTGCAGATTTTGTAAGTACAGCGGCTGATTGTTTTCTTTTAGGAGCTTTTAAAGGTATGGTTGGAATAGGAGCCAAGTCGTTTAAAAATTTGGATGGAGTTGGTTTCTCTAAATTTACGTTTGTTGGTTGCGATTCAGAAGAACCTTCATTTTGTGAATTGATAATTATATAATTTTCATTATTTTCAAAGAAGTCTTGAGGTAAATTGTCGAAATCAACAGTGTATGAAGAATCAGTATTTGTCTTACTTGTTCCAGGAAGGTTTTCATGGTTTTCACGTAAGGTATCACCATTTACATAACTGACAGTTTCTGACTCCTGGTGAGGTTCTGTAATGTATAAATCTTCTGCAGGGGGGGAATCTGCAGACACTTTTTGGGATGCAGCATTTCCATTTTGAAGAGTCTCGGCTTGTTGGTTCAAAGAAGAGTCTGATATTTGGAAAAAATGGTCAGGAATTCTAGTTCTATTGAAAGGGCATATACCCGTGGCCTCAAATCCAGACATGCCATTTGCAGGGGTAGACGCATTTTTCCACGCGCGCCCTATCAGGGCACCCATATTTCGTCTGTCAATTTTTCTGTTTTCATTTTGAAGCATCCACGAATCCGCTTCTTTTTTAAAATAATCTTTCATGGGTTTAAAGAATGACCTGTCTAAAGGTTGAAGAGCTTGAGTGATGTGGCTCGGTAAGCATATGATGATAATATCATTTGCTTCTGCATAATTTAACATTTCCGGATTAGTCGTATGGGAGGTGTGCCCGTCCAAAATTAACACTACCTTGCCTTCGCCCTTCCTAGGGACGAAATGTTTCGTCAACCATTTCATAAACAATTCTGAAGTGATGTATGAGCTCTTTTTATTCATGTAAATTTCGGATCCTGTAGGTAAGCCCTCCATGAAATCAGGATTTTTCCTAGTACCTTTTAAAATTAAAACGGGTGGCATAAAAACACCTTCACCGTTATTGCACGCAATTAGCGTGACGTGCTCCCCTTTTTCCACAGACGTAAGTACATGGACATCCTTGCTTCCTTTGGTTGCAATCACTTTTCCGGGCATATTGTTTAACTGGATACCACTTTCATCCATGTTAAAGATTTTATTGCCACTATTAATTAAATTGTGCTCTAGTAATGTTTTCTCTAACAGATCGAAAAAGGCATTCACTTCTGAACGGCACATTCCCTTTGCACGGGCTAGAGATAACCCTCACTTTGTCTAACACTCAAATCCGTATTCCTCTCTAAGAAAGAATACAGCCAATGGTGCCCTGCTATGCCCTTTTCTTCTCCTTTTATAGAAAATGCATTTTCTACTCCCAGTTTCTTTGCAAACTCATATGCCAGTTTACGAACTGTCCAACGACTGGGGGCAAATCCTGCCTTTTCTAGTTTTTGTATATGGGCCACAAGTCTCCTTTCATTTTCAAATCCCAATGCCGGACCCTTTCCTAACGATTGTTTTTTGCAATTTCCTGATTTTAATCGTCTGCGTAATGTTCTTGATGGAATGTTAAATGCTTTGCTGGCTTCATTCACACCCATTTCGCTATTATTAACATTCCTCATAGCAGCTGCTAAATCCTCTTCCGACCACAAGGCTCTTCCCTTAACATTAACCTTCCGCTGATACTTTCTAGGCATTTTTCTGAAATAAATTTAATTAATTTAGGTAGTACTAATCATCAATAATACCGAAAGAATCACGATAACAAAATTGCCATATATCCCATACACAAGTGGGGCATTTATCCTTTTTTGTGGGTATAGATGCCCCACTTAATTTTTAAAGTTACCGCCATTTAACACTAAAAACAGCAGTTCTATAGGCAAGGTTATGTTATATACTACTTATAATAACAAAAGTTTTTGCCATAAATCATGCATATTGTTCTTAAAGCTTATCTCGTGAAAGACAAACCTATTGATTACAAGTAAATAAAGCATCCTACCTTTTTACTTTTATTAATCCAAGATACGGGGCGTCTATACCACAACAAATGTCACCATAACTGATTTTAAGTACTAAATTTGTCCACAAACAAGCGCGAAGCCGCTAGTGTCGATTTTACCACAAAATTTGAATGTAGAGGCATGTATACCCTAGGGGCGACTATCGCAACTTTACCCTAAACGTACGCATGCACTTTAGCACGTATTTCACGATGCCCGTTATGGCGGCGATATGGGTTGCCAACTTAAACCTACCATTTAACGCGAAATTTAAATTTGACAGTGCTTCTGATCGAAATTTACCCACTTGATCGACTTTGCCCCATCTTACGGTAACTAATAAAAGAACGTGCAATCAATGATTTGCCATAAAATGTTTCAATACTCACTGAAGCGTCAGAATTAGGCGATGTGCAGGTGCAATATGCTTTTTGGTCTCATCTTTTATTAAATGAGGTTCGACCAACTTAAGCAATAAATCAAAAAGGGGTGGGTGCATCCTGGTGTATTTAAAAAAGTGATGGTGATCCGATCGATACATTATCTTGATTGAATTGAATAAACCCAGCCGCCCACGATGCCTGTTGATGGGCCGAACAGCATAACGACGATTTCGTTTTCTTTTTCTACTTCTCAAGTACAACACACCCACAAGAATCGACATCACACAGATTATTTCAATATCATCCATTTTTTTTACCTGTTTTGTGGAAATGACGAAAGTGACAAAGTGTGGTTAAAAAAAACAAAAATTACAATCAGCTGACTACCGCGCACGCGTGTATACCAATTTTATTTAATTTTAACGTAAAAGTTGAAAGTTGCCCAACTTTACGTTACACTAAATCCTTAAATTACACTAAATTATTGCATAAACTGATCCATTTGAATACGTATAGTGAACTTCTTAAATTTGTAGGTTAAATTACATTACATTAAATCTTACGTTAAATACGACTGCATAAACCAGCCCTAAGTACAGGAAACCTGTAGAGTTTAAGTGATACATTTTTAAAATGCATGCTATGCAAACTGTTACGGCCGTTGCCTTACGCTTGTGTTTCATTATACTTTTACTTCTAACAGGAATTTATTATAAAATGCAGTTGAATAAATAAGTAACATGCAATAAATTGGAATAGGTAGATACTTACCCAAATGAGCAAATGCAATCTATGTTTATAAATCACCTTAAACTTGCAAATTACACTGTGAAAAACAAACTAAATTTAATTCTGCAACTGCATCTACAACCTCGAAGAAACGCTACGTGCGAAAAGTAGCATGCGCATAACTTAATTTGTGTACAGAACCATTCACAAGTGTTTCTAGGGACGATTACTTGTCATCGTTACTAAGCTGTTGTAAAAATTTAATTTTGTTGCCGGAACAATTTCTTGAAACTTACACGTAATCAGTTTGAGTACCTATTACAATTTCATTATGTTTCCTGAAGAATACAGAGACAAAAGCAGAAATATTGTTCACACAACCAACCGATTTTTCAGAGTGTATAAAATATAAAGACGCGGGAACCAAAACAACATGAAGTATGCTTTCAGTATTCAGCATGAAGTTGATAACAAAACTATACGCATCCCAGTCAACAAGAAAACATTAGAAAAATGTTTTAAAAACGTAACAACATTTAAATAAGCTTGATATGGAAAATGTTTTTCCAAAAAACGTTTTAGATATATTACAAAAATGTTTTACTGTAAATATTTTTGGGAGATATATTTTGCAAACATTTTTTACACATTTTGTGAAAAATGTATGCAGGTGCAATATTTCTAAAATATTAAAAAAAAGTGTTGTTGAATACCTAATCACGTGTTGTGAACCACGCACTCTTGGTGCAGTGCGCACTGCGCAGAACGCTTAACGGCTTCGTCTTATACTTAACCTCACTTGCAACGAATTGTTTACTACACGGTTTATTGTTCCTTAATTTGTTCGTGTTAATTTAAGTGTGTGGTATCATTTGCTATATTGTGCTCCATTAATTTATTCATTTTATTATTAGTTTAGTTGCTAAATTTTTGAGTGCTTTTCCGCCGGTGAATTATAACTACTTACCTACATAAGCCAACTCCAATACTCTATTTAGGTAAGTGTAATTTTAGATTCCTGTTACTTATAACCTTGCATGGTACCTGTTATAGTCGTGCTGTATATTCAAAGAATAAATTGCAATGTCAAAGAGAAGGAAATTACCGTTTAAGTTACTGTCAGCTCGCAGTCAACGTAGAAGGATGTATGATACTGATGATGAGGATGATAGTACCAATTTAAGCAATGCAGATAAAGATATTGAAACAGTCAGCTTATCTGATGATCAGAAGGCCATTCACAGCGAATCTGTAACACGATCCATGCATAATCAAAGTGCATTCGATTCTAACCTCGATTCAAACTTTGAAACATCCCAAACTAGTTCCAATCTTCTTGCTACGTCTGTTTCATCAAGTTCACCATCTTCAAATATGTTAAAGCTTTCATCTACAGATTCAGAGAGCAGTACGGCTAGTCTGTTTGATGTAGAATCGAATACTAATCCTAAGACCGAATTAGAAGATATTACAATTTTTTTACAAGAGTGGGCGTTGAATACCAATTGTACAACATCTGCACTATCTTCTTTACTTGTGGGATTAAAAAAACATTCTTGTTTTTCTCGTCTCCCAACTGATGGAAGAACTCTCTTAAAAGTGAAACGGTTGTTATCATCTAAGCCTGTTGATCCGGGACAATATGTGCATATTGGCCTAAAGCACCAATTAAAAGTAATTTTTGAGCCTTTGACATCGTTATCCATCACTACAATAGATTTATTAATAAATATTGACGGGTTGCCACTTTTTAAAAGTTCCCCCGGGCAACTAATTCCCATCTTATTTTCTATTCCAACAATAGTTCAATTGAAAGGTCAAGTTTTTCCCTTGGGTTTTTATTATGGGTTACAAAAACCTAAGAGTATGTCAGCGTTTTTGAATGACTTTGTTACTGAAGCTGTAGATTTAATCCAAAATGGTTGTTTGTTGAATATGACAAATGTTATTGTAAGAATAATTGGTTTTGTGTGTGATGCTCCAGCTAAAAGTGATGTGTTAGGCGTTAAAGGACACAGTGGTTATTCTTCTTGTACACGTTGTACTGTAGTTGGAGAAACGAGAAACCACAGAAGAATTTTTTTAGAAACTAATTGTGCTGCTAGAACTAACAGTGACTTTATTAATTGGATTGATCCATCATACAGATTACATGACACTTCTTTAGTTAAAATACCAAATTTAGATTTTGTAAATGGTTTTGTCTTAGACTATATGCATTTGGTATGTCTGGGGGTAATGCGAACTTTAATTGTGACATGGTATTCTGGAGATTTACCTCACAGGCTTTCATTTGAAAATATTTCAACAATTTCTAATAATTTATTACAATTGGTTCAAAATACACCAACTGATTTTGTGAGGAAACCTAGAGAAATAAAATATGTTCTTAGATGGAAAGCCACAGAATTTCGAATGTTTCTATTGTATTTCGGCCCTGTTGTTTTAAAAGGCGTTCTAGATCCTGAAAAATATAACAATTTCATTACCTTACATGTGGCCATTTCAATTTTGTGCAATACATTTAGATGCAAAGATAAAGATCAGAGACAGTATGCTAGGTGCTTACTAATTAATTTTATTAAAAATGTGCAAACTTTATATAGTCCAGATTTGATGACTCATAACTTTCATGGACTTATTCATTTGACTGATGATGCTGATTACTTTATAGGCAAAATCCCTGATTTTTCTTTAGACAGTATATCTGCTTTTCCATTCGAGAATTATATGCAGCAAATTAAGAGAATGGTAAGGGCGAAGAACGCACCTTTGGAACAGATTATAAATAGGATTAGTGAAAAATTTTGTTATGGTTCGCCTATAGATCCTATTCATAATACGGATACACCAAAAATGTTAATTTCTCATCAAAGTGGTCCACTTTTGCCCAATTGTGGAAATCCACAATACAAAAAAATTTCTTTCCGTTCCTTTACTCTTTCTACTACAGCTCCCAATAATTGCTGTAGATTAGTAAACGGTGACATAATTCTTCTTGAAAATATAGTATTTTGTACTATCAGCAATTCATTTGTAATTTTAGGGCGTAAGTACTTAATAAAAAATTATTTTTATCGGGTTCCCTGTCAAAGTAATAATTTAGATATCTACAAACTTTCGAAATTGTCTCAATTAAATATGTTTGATGTTAAAGAAGTATCTGTAAAATATATTACACTGCCACGTAAGGACTTTGTCGTAGCATTTCCACTGTTACATACCTATTCTTAAGCTATACCTACTCACAGTTTAATTTAGATTTTGTTTCTTTTTTTTGGAGATATTTAGCTACACTCCAGTTTCATTTATATTTTATAGTATTAATAGGCACGACTATACTACGTAATCTTATTCTATATGTTATGTAGACTGTTGTTGTAGAATGTGGACTCTTATACAATTTATTGACGATGATGATGATAATGATTACGATGTCATTCCAACATCATGGATTGTTAACAACACTACATGCGTATTTCCCCAAGAAAAGGCATCAAAGGTGAAGTTTTTAGTAAAAAGTAATGCCTCGCCAGATAAAACCTGGGAAGAGATGCAGATACAAATAATACACAATGAAATTGGTACGTTAAATGTTTTAAATTTGCAGGTTGTTATTTTTTGTATTACAGGCAATTACAACAAAGCTCTGCAAATGATGTTTAGAGCAGCAAAAAAAGCACCATTATTTTCAGATGACGAAAAAGGCAGAGGACATCGCCAAAAAAAAGAAACCAAGTTTCATGGTGAATGTGACTCAGAGGAAAATTCGCCAAGAAACCGCAATAATTCTAAGGAGTTATTGGAGGAATCGCATTACCCTACAGTTCCACCTTCATTTTCTGTAAAATACAATAAGCAAGCCTCGACACCCGCACCTCACAAAAGGACAACATTGCCACCTTCTGAACTGGCAAACACAACTGCACTTTTGATGGGAATAATCTTCTCTTTTCTATTGCACAACAGTTGTGCAAATTATCAGGTAAGCTACCTCGCAGAATGTTTCATTATTTTATCATTTATTGTAATTTTAGTTGATATGACTAAAATGAAAACCCACTTGAAACATATAAGGGAAAATACTAATGAAAAAGTAAATGCAACTGTGGAAGAATCCTACGATGCCGACGAATTATTTCTTTTTCCGATAAAAAATGAGGAGCAACTCCACAATATAGAGACGCAATTAAAAAATCCAGATAATAATAATAAATTGGTTGTGTTAAGACATTTTATGTTTTGATCAAATCATACTAATCTATCTCGTATTTTAGATAAAAACATTGTTGCATCAGGCTGAAGGCAAATCTGTACCGAAGATGGTAGGTTCGATTATGGCCTATGTTATTTCCAATGAAGTGGCTTCCAATTTCAGTTGGAAGGGCCAAAAAAGTAAACAAGCATTTCAGGAAATGGAATTGGCAAAAGCAGTTGTGGGTATATGCACACTATTTAAATACTAAAATTGTAATAACAAGCTTGCTATTGTTATTCATACAAAATCCAATGTTTGGTATCTTATCTAATGTATTTTAGCTGCAGTCTTAAAAAAATATCCATCTGAATCAAAACAAGACGTTATAAAAAGTATCCAGTTGTGGTTAGCACAAGCACCTACACGAATGAAAAGGTATATTTCATAACATTTTATATTAAATGGCTCGAATTTTATTTTTATATTATAGGGCTCTTGAGGTTAAATTAAGAAAAAACGCGATTAATGAAGATACTACCCAAATGTAATACCTATGCAACATATTCATTATGTAAAATTAATACTCATTGCGTTGTAGGGATCCTGAAAATGGCAATGGAGATTCCTGAATCTAAAAGGAAACACATCATGTGAATAAATTACATATAACACAAATTTTAATAAATAAATATTTTTTGAATGCATCTAAGATTTTTGCAATAATATGGTTGCAATCTTTTAAAAATATTTGGATGTGATTTAAAAAACATTTTTATAACGTGATATAACAAGCGTTTAAACATTTTGAAAATATTTTTTTAATATTTGAATATTATTTCTAAAAGGTTTTTTAAACATTTTAGTATCATTTTTTAAATGTTTTTTTAATATTGCAACTGCAACCTATTTGTGGCCATTAAGACATTTTTGCAATGTTTTAAAAAACATTTTTGCTATATTGCAATAATATTTTAAAAAATGTTTTGAAAATATTTTATTGCTGACTGGGATGCGTTTATATTATTAAATTACACTAAAAAGGAGATGCATAAACCTATCCTTAAATTACGTTAAGTAAAATTTTGCATTAAAAGTAAGATTACATTAAATTTTGCTGCATAAACCAACCTTAAGTTTTATAATTTTAAAACGGCATAATTTTTTTTAATAAGTCGTTCGGCATTTTTATTAAAACGGTACATTTTAAAGTAGTTTTAAGTTAAAATTTTCAGCAGAGGGTAAAACTTAGAACGGAAATTGAAAAATGCGCCATTACGCCATTGTCCTGATCATGTTCAACTTTAACTTAATACGCACTCGACACAAAGTAGAAGATATTGAAATAACTAAACTTACCCTTAAATACAGCAACTAAGCATTCCATGTCCCAACTTTTTAATAATTGTTCCATTATTATAAATAATAACTTATAACAATCACCACTTGCAAAATTCTTGGACGCACACAATTACGCTACCGAGCAGAAAGCGTTACGATTAACGATGATGAGCTACTGCTAAATCTGCATAAATGTGCTTAACTCAACAATTAGCTTACACAAAGCAGTTTTAATATGTTAGTTTGGTATAACAGCATTTGATTTGAATCAAAACTGACGCTTCGAATTAAACATGCACGATATTCATTATGAGAATATAAGCATTTCTTCCAAGAATATATTTTGTCAATGAAATAACATTGATACTTAAAGTAAGATAACTGTCAGTGTACGTGCGAGAAATGTATCTTATTTCTATCAAAACAAAACTACAACGTATTTTAAAAATATGAATGCTTACATACGTTTATTTGTAGTAAAATGATTAGTTATTAAATGAAAACGATGTTATTAAGAAAATCCTATGATCCATTTAAATACACCTGTAAATTTGACCGAAGAGTTTGTGCTTGTTGTAAACAAATATAATATTAACTGAAAATGATATTTTCAAACAAATCAATATTTTTACACTAAGCATTTTTTTCTATGTGTGGTAGAACAAAATCAATCTACAATTTGTAGCTTAGATCTACAAATTTAGATAGATCCAGTCTACAATTGTAGATTGAATATACCTACAATTTGTTGGCTGAAATTGTAACAATAAAAGTAAAATTTGTTTTTTTGTGGCCCTTCTACGCCTCCGTACACTGAGAGAAAGGTTTATTTATAACAAATAAAATTTATTTACTGTTAACAAAATTCATGTTTAAATATCAGCTGTCAAATATTATTTTATTGTTAAATAATAACTTTGCTACAAGTTTACAAATATGTGTAACTTAATATTAAGAACAGTTTTTTTATTATTACCAAGAGATTTATGTACTTCTACTTCCCATTTATTTATTATTAATATATGAATTTAATAAATACTATCAACAGGTTTAGTGGTAAATATGGTCAACTTTAATATTAAGAATTGTTTATTCATTATAAAGAGTTTTAGTTAATACATACCATAAGATTTGCTAATATCACTGCCATCCATTTATTAATATTTACTGTGCGAATTTCACAGCAACTATTTATAAGTGTATTTGTAAATATGTTTAACTTTAATATTAAGAATTGTTTCTTTATACTGAAGAATTTCAGTAAATAAACACTTTCGATTTGTTTGTTACTACCACCCATTTATTTATATTTAACACACTAATTTTATCACAACTAACAAAAAGTTTATTATTATAATATAGTATTTTAATCGTTAAGAAAGATATCTGATTATTGGTTGTTAGGAAACTTAAGTTAATCCAACAAAACTAAGGCATTGCATAACAATTAACAAATATTACCAACAAAAATATGAATTTTATTTACCTACGTAATCCCGAAAATTTACTATACAGCAAAGAGTAGTATTCTTTGCTATACTATACAGGATGCACGTGTATTCTGACACAGATAAAATACATTACACAGAAATGTTAACACTGTTCAGTTGGAAAGGCTTCCTTTTTATTATTAGCAGCACTGTGCCACTCAGAAAATCTATACCGTTTAGGTCAAAATTTAACTTCAGGATTGGTTAGATATATAATACAAAACAACTTTAAAACATGTATTAGAAAAACAAAAAATCAAACATAAAGTATACATTTTCTCAAAGAAAAAGTTTCTACGTTTTCAATAAAGGATCAACTCAACAGTAAAATGTATAACTAAGCCAAACGCAAATGAAAATCTATGCATTAATTTACTACATATGCAACACACAGGACATAGTACAAATACAGTTCGATGTTATGTTAGAATCTAAAGCTATATTTTAAACATATTTACGACAGTCTTTCCACCAGGGACTAAATGTATTTGAAATGAACGCAACTTTTTAATATGAGTTATATCATAGTATTTGAATTTGTGGGAAACAGTATTTAATATATAAGCACAGCTATCTGTGTGCAACAGTACATCACTTATAACTAGACAGAAAAAGAACACCTTTTCCTTTTGAGTACAAATAATTGATTTAACAATACCGAATGTTGGAAGTTCATTTTCTTCATGGTCAGGAACTATTATGGCACAACTCTAAATTTAATTCCATTCAATTTAAACCACTCAACCTCAAAGAAAGGCTCCTCATCACACTTCTTTAAAAAATAATTATGATTCTCTCCTAAGGGTATAGTTTTTCCAAACTGGAAATTATTATGTAGCCCTACTTTAAATTGAAGTCGGTAACAAAGGCGAAGCTAGTACCTTATTGATACCGTCTTCAGTATGTTTATTCTTGAGGCAACAATGTGGCAATTTGTTTTTCCTATTTTGTGGAATGCTTCATATCTAATTGATGATAAAGCAGAAAGAGGTCCAACACGTTCTATGATACTTGTGTAATGAATTAAAAAATGGTATTTTGGTTTAAGATTTTCTTTAAATAATTGCATATGTAAGCGATTATGCTCCATAATGTGATGCTTAAAATACACTAAATCTTCTGAACTAAACTCATCTTTGGTGCTATAGCATGTAATTTCATACAGCATCAAATATAGAGACCAACCTTCATCTTCCACGTCAATTAAATCAAAAATTAAAAATGAAAAGTAAACCACAAAAGCTAACATTTCAGAAGAAGACATAATTAGGTATTTCCTTTTAATCTGAGATTCTATTATTACAGGTATTTTGTTCCCTACGTCAATATCTTGATTATAGGTAGTCAAAATATTTGATTCTACGATTCAAAATTTCTAATTTGAAAAATTTTTTCACATAAATAAATCTGTATAAGATTCGGGCCATGCTGTAGCGACAAATACCCTCAAAAAGGTCGTGCATAATATCACAGCTAACGTTTATAGTTGTATGAAAATTAGGTAAGTTATTTAATACACAATATTCTTTTATGCCATTTGTTTTTGCTGATACATCCTGTTCATAAGTACTAGGATTTCTTGTAAAAGATTTATCTTCCTCGCACATAGTTTCACAGATTTCCTTAGAACAACTGCAAACTCGACAATAATGCTTGGACGTAAAACTCTCTGTCATGCCAATTATTGAATTGACGCCTAAATTGTACCCTAACACCAAAAACAGTGTAAAATATATTTTAGTTACTTTTCCAAATGAGTGAATAGTAACTCCTTTAGTTTCCAGCGCGATTAATTTTTCCAGAAATACATCCAAAATAACTTTGTTGCCAAGAAATGCTCTATCCGATGAATAAAAAAGTTCAAATAGAAAGAAGTTTTCAAGCCTTGAAGAATATTCAGGGGGAATTCCACCAATAGTAAAATATACTGCGCCCACTTTATGAACGCCAGCTTGGGTGCCTAGTGGGTTACCACATTCATAATCGTCAAAATACTTATATGAAAATAGGGAGAACTATTTTGTCGTCAAATTTAATTTTTACTGATTTCCACAAGGAAGCATTAAAGATACTCGTAATTGATGTGGTATTACTGGATTCATTCTCTATGTGTTGTAAAATAACTGGCACAACATTATCAGTGGCTAAAAATTGATGTAACACTTTCTCTATTGATACAACTTGTGCTGTACACCATCGATAATCTATGGAGACGGAACCATTTTTTCTTTTATCTTCTAATATTCTCCCTATCTCCACTTCATATGCTTTAATAAACTTAGCGCTGTTTTCAAAATATTTAAACCTTTTATGTTCTGTTAAAATATCATCAAATGGATTTTTCAGTATTAGTCTAAGTTCAGTCAAAAGTTTTTGAGGTATTTGATCGGAAAGAGAATTTAAGGATGCAAGGATTTGAGAATAGGTATAAGTCATTAAAAAAGTCACTAGTGTTTTCGACCACCTCTTGTATACATTTTCTTGTTATAGTACTGTTTTTATAAAGCTTTATCAAAAATGAGAGAAGAGAATCAAAACTATCATTCAAATTCAAGTCAGAATTTTGGCTGGTTGGATGAATATCTGTCATGTTACTTGGACAATTTGCATTGCTCTCAGGTTGCTTTATGATCTGAGTATATGAAGTATAAAATGTACTTACACAATGATCAGTTAAATGGTCATGTTTGGCGTAAATATGTCTCTTTAGTGAATAAATTGTGCGAAATCTTTGCAAACAAGTCCTATTACTACAAACATATGAATCTGAGTATTTATGCATAGATTTTGTATGGTAAAAAAACGAATCCTTATTGTCAAATGTACATGGAGTAGTGCAAATTTTACAAAGAAGCATTTTTACATCTAAAACGTCGCAAATACATAGTCGAAACCTTACTACAAACAAACCACCTGGGCAGAAAAAACAAAAGTAATATATACCTAAAATTAGTTAACTTTGACTTGAATATATAGGTACTTATAATAATGAACAGATTAGGTGCTACTAAGACGGTTAACCTTATTCACAATGTCGACAATATTTGGAATTTTGTTATCCCATTTTGTATAGCACTTTGAATAAATGCCCAGATATGCTCCGACTGAAACTGATATTTTAGGTGAAATACATGATATGTTTTAAAAACAATGTCTATGCCTTTCAATACTGTTGCTGCTGAATATAGCTCACCAAAAATATAAACATAGATTTGCTGGATGCTGGCACCAGATCCCACCACAATTATAAAAGGTTGTACCGGAACCTCCACAGATTGCAACTTCTCAATTTTCGTGGCAACTGCTGTCTCCACATCTCCTGCCAGCTAAAAAACAGTATAGTAATAAAGTGCAATTGCTATTTAGCAGCTTAAAAACACAATACCACATTATTGAATTGAAATTATGGAGAATATAATAGGTAAACCCACCTCTACTTTTAAAACAATTCCCTCCTTACAGTCTGCTATTTTTGGTTTCCACTGCTTACTACCAAATACATGCCTGGATTTATATGGAAGCAGCGAACACATCAAGGATAGCATGACATAATGTTTATAATCTGCAACAGTACAATAGATAGGTAAATAACTATGTAATAGGAAATATTAAGTTAGGTATGATGTTCGAAAACAGAAAAAAAATTGATTAATCTAAAAATCTATAGATACTGTATAATAAATCAAGCGATTAAGTAGATACAGAAACTTTAGTGGATTTTGTATAAAAGTTAGGTAAACATAATAATATCAATTTACTGAAAGTAGTGGCTATTTAAGTAGAAGGTAAAAGTGATATACAATACCTTTGCTAAGATTTTGCGACTCCAAAAGGTCTATTAATATTTTGTCGCTATCGATAGTCACATAATTTCTTCGTAGTTTAATCAAGTTAACTATCATTGAATCCCAAATAGAAAATAGATCCTGTGCGTTAGGATATAGCTTCTCAAAGTCTCTTTCGATCTAAAATGAAAACATTTAAATGTGAAAATGACATTTTTGTTAGTGCTTATTTGTGAAGAAAGATTTAAAAAAAATATCAACCGTTCATTTTCGATGGCAATTGTGACATGTATAGTCACACTAAAATTACCCGAGGAATCCAAATATGCAATAATATACCGGGGGGTTCCATTAAAAAAATTTAACACCACGTCCAACCGGCGAACTTTAAAAATGTACATGAATAAGCCCACAAGGATCCGTCCACACACTGTTGGCCCACCCTGTATAGTATAGGTATATACATACCAGTGAAAAACAGAGCGATGATAACTTTTAGACAGGATATAGAGTAAAATATTCTTTCCCTTCTCTTTCTTCTTTTAGAGTTTGTTGTCGCCGATAATTGAATGTGGCATCCCAGTGTTTGTACACTTGCTCTAATGGTTCCCGATTATGTTCTAACCAAAGCAGACTGTTCTTAACCAAATCATCTGAAACATTTGGAACTCTTTGAAAGCACTATGAGAGCCTACAAAAATTTTACCTGAATCTACGTCTGTAGGGGCTTGATTTTCTTTGTCTGTAATGCCACCTCTTGATGGTAATATTCCTGCTTCTCGAAGGAAAGTTAGCCTATTTCGAAACTTATCCACCAGTTTTCCTCGTGCAACTCCCGGTTTTTTGTCCCGTGAATCCCTCTTTCTTATTGGTGGAAGGTAGTAGGCTTCCTTCGTTTCACATGGAAAAAGTTCCACTATTTTATTGCCAAGGATGTCGAATTCTTCATTCTTTAATTGGCTAGAAACAGTTTGTATAAATATTAAGACACACAAAATTAAAGTAAAATCAAATGTAATCAATTTGTGGGTACTAATGGTACATTCTCAAGTTACAGAAAAGTTACAGACAAAAAAATACTCTGACCAGGTAACTAACCGGTTCGCTTGATTCAATATCAAGTGTTAAGATTATTTACTTATGTAGAGTGCTTCAAAATTTCAGTTGTAATTATATCCACTAAATAGCTTTGTCTGGTACTGTCAAATCCCCCTTTAATTTGGTACCATTGAAGTAGTGCCTTTCCGATCGCAGATTCTTCCAAAAGCAGTTTTAATTCTAGAGATTCTATATATGTTTTTAGGGTTTTTGGTTTATTTATTTCAAGAAGTGGTGTGGACGTATATGATGTGGATGGACCAAATCCAGAACTCGATGATGGAGATAATACCAAGATATTTTCGCTACAGTCTAAGTCTAATACTTCGCTATTTCTAAAAAAATACAAATATACCTACGTACTGTTCATATTGATCAAGATCTTATTTCATATTGCTAAAGAACGATTCACGATTTGCACAATACCTACTCGATTATAGGAGTGATCTGGATGTTCTCATTAATTGGAGAAATTGCAAGTGCGGGTGCGGATTCATCAAAACATGTTTTCTCTGACTTCAAATAGGTTTCAATTTTTTTTTAATAAATACCCGTTTTCCCAGAGACGGAACAATTTCTTTAAGATTATCTACGGAAAGATGCGGTAATAGTTCCGCAGCTATTCCATGTTCTGAAAGCAACAGAAACTTCCTTGTATAGTTGTAGTTCGTACACAAATTTTTCCTAAAAATATGACACACTAACAAGCAGTCAGATTATATGGCCCTCCGCCGCCTGCAATTTCCAACTCTGCGAAGAAATTTTGCTAATTTTCTGTGCTAAATTGTATCACTGTTTCATATAATTTAACGATATGCGCCCTACATACTGGTACAAAACATGCCATGATCAATGCGTCAATTAAAGTCAAGAAAATTATTGGCGGTCAATTGTTAACTGTCAACTACGACGTAATATAAAGATGAGTATATTTCGAAATGGCATTAGAATGCACAAAACATACCACAATAAACCACTAATTTTGTATAGGCACCGTTTTCTACAAAATATAAATAAATAATATTACCTATCGCCTACATAATTATACAAATGGAAACTGAGCGTGCCAACATCTATACTTCTAATCAATTTTCTAGAAAATGCTTACACGGGGGCAGTATCTACTGTGAAATTGTATCTATGTGTTTATTGGTGATAGATACAATTGGTTTATTGGTGATATAGTAATTTTCACGGACTTAAGACATCTTGTACCTAATTATAAAATGGCAGTACACCATGTTGTGTATCTACCACCTACCTACAATTTTTCATGATTAAAAAATTTCGTTTAATAACAAGAATGATTATTAAGACAAAAATAACTGCGTTAGGTAGTAATAAATTAGAACTAGGGTTACAGTTAAGATGTTAACTATTAAGAAACGTTTCTTTTAAATAAATATACTTCTATGTATCTCGCCAATGATGAATGACGCCAATAAATATTGTAGGCAGCCAAGCACAGCACTTGTAATATGAACACGTACATACCTACTTAAATTTGCAATAAATAAATGAATCATTATTACCTTGAAAGAGGGCTGTAAATTCTCCAATACCGATGATTTGTAATGTTTCATCCAGGTCCATTTCTGTATCTCTATCTGCCATTGTTATAATTAGGTGCTTCACACTACCTGATAATAAATTGCACAACATTAAATTAAGGTAAAAGGGAACGATTTCGCACTTACCATTACACGGTTTTCAGTGGTTTTAATACTCGTAGGTGTTAGTAACACAGCAATTACACACACAACAACACCGTATAGGAATTTTGAATTGAAGGTGCACGAACTATAACAAAAAGACGGCACACAGAACAGCACAGTCGACAGTCCAACTGTTATACAATTATATGCGCTCCCAAGCGAAGTGAGATAAGTTAGCGCCGTGTCATCACAAAGCTTAATGATATCGAACAAAGTTAAATATTAAGATATTGTTTTTCTGGTAGTTAATTACCATCACTATTAATAAGATTTGTTAAACACTTACAAATGAATATTTAGTTTAATAATAACAATTGGATTTCTTAGTTTCTAAAAGAGCACGTTTCTGAAAAATACGGAAGGTTTATGATAAATAAATTTCAGCCAAATAAATCCCTTTCTTAACGAGGCTTTCTTAGAATTGATAATAGTTTATTAAAATTATGTTGGGAAAGCCCAGCAACTGCACAGAGAGAAAAATCTCATTTATTATTACCAAATATAGGGTATCGGGATATTTCTTTATAAACACCTTAGTGATATTTTACTTAAATTATCGATTCTATTAGATATACTTCTTACTTTATAAGAAGAAATCGTCATATTTTAATGAATTATCTGTTAGACTACTGTAAAGGATCTCGCTCATTATACCAACACAACACAACACAGCACGTCACGTCAAATGTCGGTGAAGATAAAATGCATTAGGTTAAATAAGGATCCGCTCACTTGTCCAACACGACACGACACAGCGTCGGCCGATGTTGGTCGGATCTTCATCGCACAACCCTAACCGACAAATGACGATGCGTGTTGTGTTGTGTTGGTGAAGTGTGCGGAGGTAAACCGTCAAGAATGTCTTTAGCATGCGCAAAAGTAATCAGCTGTTTAAGTTTAGTCATTGAAAAAAAATATTATTTAGTGGACTTCAGCTTCTTAGCGAAATGGACGAAGAACTATTAATCAATCTCGTTGAAAAATACAGTGAATTATACGATGTAAACGATTCAAAATATCATGATCAAGCAAGGAAGGAGAACATTTGGGAGGAGATTGCTGCAGAAATGCAAAAACCAGGTTAGTTTTTAGTTTTATTCAATCTCGTAATCTTTCAAGTAAAGTATACAATATATTTAATTTATGTAACATTTCTTTTTCCTCTGCGCACCATTTCAGTTTGCCACGATACCGAACCATTTGGTGAATTAAAATAATTTTTGAATGAGTCTCTGACGCCCATTGCATTTGTTGTGGACGCTCCCCCTATTCCTGGAATATTTTCGATGCCTTCTGGACGTACAATAGTTTCATGTTGTTCTTCAGTCCAATGACAAGTGTCATTTCGCAAAAAATTATGTAAGCAACATGTTGCTAAAATCACTTTATCTAACTTATCTGGGTCTATTTGTAAATGACGTTGATAAATCCTAAATCTCTTGACTAAAATACCGAAAGCGTTTTCAGAGACGCGTCGAGCTCTACTAAGTCTGTAATTGTATATTTTCACTTCTTCATTGTTTAGACACTGCCGACCTGGATACGGGCGCATTAAATTGTTATGAAGAGGGAACGCTTCGTCTCCTACAAAAACGTGTGGAAGACGTAAATTGCATCCGGGTAAGGTCTTAGGTTCTGGAATGTCTAAAGCATTGCTTAATATTTTTTTACCAATTGTGGAATTAGCAAACACTCCTCCATCACTGCTTCGTCCATACGCACCTACATCAACTGCAGTAAATCTGCAATGCGCATCAACAAATGCAAGCAGAATTACACTAAATGATTTCTTATAATTGAAATATAAAGATCCACTATTGGGTGGTTTATCAGTGATGACGTGTTTGCCATCGATTGCAGCTAAACAATTAGGGAAGTTCCACAACGATCTGAAGAACTTTTCATTCTCCTCCCACATGTCTTTTGTAGGTGATGGCATTACTAACGGGCCCATGATCTTCCAAATGGCGTCGCAAGTTGTGTGTACGATGTTTCGAACTGTTGTTTCCCCAAGTCGATAGCTGAATGCTATTGTTCTGAATGTATCGCCCGTTGCCAGGAATCTATACAAATAATATGTACTGTATTAATAGTTATGTTAGTTGCTTGTGTAAAATGACTACTACTTATATTTTTTATTTACAGCACGTGAATGTAAAAAGCGGTGGAGCACGCTCAGGGATTGCTACCGGCGAGCACTGAAGGCTCAGCAATCCAAAAGTGGTGATGGGGCAAAGGCACACAGAGAGTGGCGGTTTCAGCAGCAAATGAGTTTCCTGCGAGGATTTCTTCCTGAACGACAGCAGCTGTCAAATGTAGAAATAGAAACAGCAGGAGCCAACGATACTGAACGTGAGGAACAGGAACGTGTAAACTCACCAACTGATTACGTTCAGCAATCGGAGAGTGATGAATCAAGTACATCATCGCGCCCTCAAAGCACTCATTCTGCTGTATCCATAGTAGGCAAGCGTAAATCCAATAAAAACCAGCCGCTTACAACAGCACATGTTTTACAAAGTTATTTAGCAGAAAAGCGAACTAAAAACACTCCATTAGCGACCGCACACTCTCCACAACCTCTCAAAAAATTTTTTGCGTCCATTGAAGACACCGTTAGCACTTTTCCATTAGAAACACAACTAGATATCAAATCAAAAATATTCAATATCGTTCATCAAGCGGAACTATCACTTTTAAGACGTTCAACGGGTAATATAAATCAATCACATTTTCACCAAGAACATCATCAACAATATTATCCATCTCAAGTACAGCACATTCAACCACATTTCATCCCAATGACGGCACCTCAGCAACAACCATTTCAAGACATACAGTACGCAACTCAAAGACGTGTACAAAACCTTCAACAATTACCACGTATCTCGCAAGCACCATCACAACCTCAATCACAATTTCATCCATATACATCCCAAACACAACATTTGACCAGCGATTTGCATTATGAAGAAGATGCATCCCAGTTGACGCAATCACTTACTACAACAGAAAATGATGTACCTACTACACTCGACAATAATAAATTAGATTTGTAATGCATTCTTTCAAAAAAATAAAAGTTATGTAAGTTACAAAGTAGTAAATTACTTACCTTAAGGTCACAGCAAGTCGCTCTTCTTTACTAATTGCTTTACGAAATGTAGTGTTTTCTAAAGTTAATTGTGATTCCAATAAATTTACGCACTCTGCGAACTTTGGCGCAGACATTCTAAAATACTGGAAAAATTTTATCTCGTCTCTCTGTAAATCTTGGAACAAGTGATGAAATTCTCCCAGTGTTGATCTTTTCATATTAATAGGATGAACCCACATTTTCCTCTTTCGCTTTTTTTCATTCTCCTCTGCTTCTAGAGCACTTACAACCACCATCAACTCTTCGTCCGACGAATCTGAAGACTCCATGCTTACCACAATACTAAACTTTTTCAATTGTACTACATCAGTAGTTTGTTTTTAACGTTGAAAAGTGTCGTTAGCCGTCATTATATGAGCGCAAGCCGAATCGTCGTCGGCCAGCGCTGGCCGGCGACGTGTTGTGTTGTGTTGGTATAATGAGCGAGATCCTTAACGCTTCAAAAAATAACCGATGAATCACAACTACGTACTTGGAAAATGTTTTAAGCAGCAACGAAGATAATGTATCTACCTCAATAATTAAACTCCGCCGACCTAAATTATACCACTTTTTGCAGCATCGACAAGTTTTAAAGAAGAGCACTAATCACTGCGGTATTCTGCAGCGTTATTGTTTCTCATTCGTTTCGGTTTACTCATCACTATGGGCTATGATTATTAATTATCTTAATTTTAATATTCCCTACCGTTGGGTAAATGAAACGTATAACGTTTTATAAAAGTTTGCAAGCGACTGAGCGATAAAATCTGGTCCGAAACTACCACTGACGGCCTGACCCAACTCACTGAACAAGAGAATATACACCTTACACATTTAAACGCCGCCAAGGTCGCTTAGTGTTCGTGTTCGTCGGAGTGTACGCTGTTGGCGTAGATTGGGCCACATGATGCGCACGTGCAATTCGAGATAAAATCTACGCGTGGCGAGATAAAATTCGCGCACTGCACATAAATTCATGCAGTGCGAGATAACACCACGCAGTGCAAGATATAATCACGCCCGTGCGAGGATAAAATCATGCAGTGCGCAGATAAATCACGCACTGCGACATAATCATCGCAGTGCGAGAATAAAATCACGCAGTGCAAGATTAAATCACGCAGTGTCAGATTTTCATGAAAAAAGTTTGAGCGATGGCCCTTCTGAACCATCGTAATACCAGTGGTGGTGGCGTTACGGGATAAGGAGCGGACGAGATACGTTTGATTTGCGTTTTAGTCGTAATATCTCATAAGCATAAAGAAATGTACTAAAATTTAAAAGATTACTTTAACACAGAACACAAGTAATAGACCATTTTTCATTGAAGAGGCTTTTGAAGGTAAACAATCAGTCATGATTTAAAAAGAATAAATAGTAGTAAATTGGACCGCATGTTTGTATCTGGAACAACTTTATTTTAATTCCATCATATTTCAGTTTCTAGTAAATTTACGCCGGTTTACTTATCTAATGTGGAAAAGTTTTTTGAGTCGGATTTTTTGTTGACTATTTGAATATGGATTTAATATTTAATCTTGGAAAAATATTTAACGTTAGCTAAATGGACAATACAACGTGCTTTAGGCTTCTGCAATAAGAAAAATAAATATGCTAATAAATGTTAAATTGTATTTGTATAGTATGTTTTTTATTATATTGCAATACAAAACAAGTATAAAACGTTCTGAATTATAAATGTGTACCAAATGTGGCAATATAATGACACTGAAAAAACTATCACATTAAATTGTTAAATATGTATTATTCGCCTTCATAAGTACTAGATTTTCAAAGTTGATGTCCGATAAAGCGTGGCGGCGGGGTGCGTCAATAAATGTTGCATATGAAAACAGTCTTTCTACAGATGCGGAAGAAGGAAACGAAGTGTTGTATTTAAAAAATACTTTTTGCACATCGGGGTATTTATTAAGCATACACAATTCAGATTTTGGATCCTGTAAGTACTGCAGACACTCAAGTTCGCTTTTCCCGAATCCCATACTAGAGTTCGATGGCAAAACGTTATCTGGTGAATCATCAAATTCAAAATAATCACTGAACGAATTTTGTTCTATCAGTGGTTGTCTTCGTTAACTCCCTCACTGGCGATGAAACACTTTTCTACACTCTCTATAAATACTTTCTTAATCTTGTCTGTTATTAGGAAGGTAGTTTTGATCTTCTTTAAACAAAGAAATCCACTTCATTTTAAAGGATGGGTGTGAAATTGTTGCCAATTCATTTTGTAAGGTAAGATATTCATGAAATCTCTCGGAAATGGCTATTAATATGTCATCCAGCACTGAAGAAAGATATCTATCATTTTAAGTTTTTCTAATTTCTTTTTTAAACTGGCTATAGTTGGTAGTACATATCCATAATAAATATTTGTATCCCCTTGTAAACATATCTAGTCCCAAAGAAAGTGGTAGGTACTCTATTAAATACTCCACTTCGTTATCTTTAAATGAATGTTTTATCGACAGTTTTTCAAATAGCATCGGCAGCTTCTCCTTTTTGTTTACAATATTGTTTATAGAGTCGTAGTAAGAGTTCCACCGTGTCACTCCAGGATAACTAAGATACTGCCCTAACACTTCTTTAATAACTTCTGCTGTCTTTGGACGACCAGCCTTAGACCACAACTGAACACATTTATTCATAATATTTGTGTGTCTGGTTCTCATTGCTACAGTTTTATTATTAGATTTCATAAAGTCTGCAGTCGCAATTAAATTGATAGTATGCGAAACGCATCGCTGATGTTTGGGCAATTGTATATTAGGAGAGTCTTCACCTTCATCCGCTAAAACGGCGAACGGTTCTGGTGTAAAAATAACGTCTTCAAGTTCCTCATCGATATCGATAATCTCTCCCTCAGCGTCAAAAGGTACCAGCGAACTCAAAATTATGAGTTAGGTATACGGACTCCAAATTCTTTAAACGCTTTTACAAAATTTGAACCGTTGTCGGTCACTGTAGATCTAATTTTTTCAGCTTTGAGCCCAAAAGTTGTATGGATGTCATCTATCATCTCAGCTATTTTGTCATAACTGTGTGTTCCAGAAATCCTGCGGCAAGCCAAAGCAGCTGATCTTCTTTCATATGTGGCAGTGTCGATCCAATGGCATGTGACGCCCAAAAAACTTCTTTTTTTACAGGACCAAATGTCGGCAGTAGTACAGACAAAATTGACAGCCTCTACATTCATTTTAATATTATATAGTAATTTTTTACATGATTCCGAAATTCGATTTACTGCTGTTTTCCTAGAAATCACTTTGACATTAAACCCATTGAATAATTGGATAAAACTATCATTATGGACAAAGCTGACATCGTATTAGTAATAAATTTCACTATACGCTTGTCAAATTGTTCCTGTGAGATTTTTTGTCCTAATCCAGTGAAACTAGATTTAAGATCAAGTTGTTTCCCTTTTTTAGTTAAAGTTCCTTCTTCTTCGGTAGATGAAGTAGTTTTCATAGACTGTCTCTTAACGTTCGTACTAGTGATTTTCTGCTTTTTATGGACCAGCTACTTTTGATATTCCTGCGAATATTTGCTTCTAATGTGTTTTAAGAAGTTAGTTGTTGAGTAGGTTCTTCCTGTAATTAATTTAATATTTGGAATGCACAATTGGCATTGTGCCGTTATATCAAAATTTCTGCCGCGTTCCGTTATTTTGTAATAAACGCCATCAAATAATGGAGATTCTTCACTCACTTGACTCTCTGAGTTAGGCTGGTCAATAATCTTTTCTACTGAATTTGAACGTACTTACGTAAAATAATGGGCTTTTTGTTTGGGATTTACTGCAACTGGGTTTGCTCGCAAAATAATCTGAAATTTTCTCCCTTTCTGATGTATCGCCATAATTTGGGTCTGCGTTACTATCGTCACTGCTATAAAATGGATCTGTCTCAAAATCACTGGGATTAATAAGGTCACTTAAGTCCATGCCATCCATCTCCCTTTGAGTGGACGTTATAAAATCTGAAACCAAAATGTTTGGTCAGATTGTCAGATAAAATGAGATGTAACAGGGACAACACTGATTCCTCGGGTTAAAATCATACGAAATTCGACACCCAGATCTCGTCTCTAGGCCATATTTAGTTTTTAATAAAATGTTACAATAAATCACCTCCACCTCCTCTAAAATCTACCCACACGGAAAATGTAAAGTGTTCTTCGGGCCAAATCGTCTAAATGGCTCTAAGGAACAGCTGTACCAAGTGTCACCTTGGTATAACAAAATGCAGTATCTTTTGGTATACTGCTAGTACTACTTGGAACTTGGGTTCAACTGCCGCCATTTCGCTCACGGGTTGTCTTTGCTAGAACGGAGCCTATTGTTATGCTGATGTGTTTGCACTGTTTAGGTATGCTTTTTTTCTTCGGACCAGAATTAACAATTACTTTTGCCTCGTCGCCATGTAATGTACACTTTGTACGCGTTTAGCATTTTATACGAGTATAAGGGCAATGAAAAACACTTCTTCTAGCTCGTTCGAGTACCGAATGTCATTTATTCACGTACTTTTCTACAGTCCCATTTCTCATACTCTATATGGCATTTGTCATACATCACATCAATAGATATGCTGAACATGCGGACCATAACTGTTTTTAAAAACCTGCTCTACGGCAAAAAGATGAAGTTATACGGTCCACTGCGCTATTGTTGACGAAACTTGGACGCTCTAACTTACAAAATAACACAGTTCCCTATGACTTTACACTACACTACTGAAATCTTTTCTTCTGCAATCGATTTCGAGATTATGTACAAATTGGACCCACATTTTCATATTGGGAGGTAAATTTTATGTTCTTTCCGTCTTGGTGAGATAAGTTCATAGTCACAGTGGAAGTGGAATCTCAAAAAAAGTTATTGTTGACTGGCACCGTGAATTTCAGTATGTACCAATTTATTTCTGAGCCGCTTTTCATTTCGCTCCCTTGCTTCCACGATTTCTTGGTGATCTTTACATTTTAATCCTCGGCCAATTCTATTTAGTACAATTTCGGGCAAAATTCATTTGTTATAAAAAAAATTAATTTAGGAACCATTTGAGTCTCCCAAAATTCGTCGTCTCTGTAGATTTCTTCCACAAATAAAACCACTTCGTCATTAACATAAGCAATGAAAAAACATTTTTGCCTTTGTGTTATATGCAGTTGGCCCTGTATCTATGAAAGTAATCCAATGAGCGGTTAAAGATTACATAATTGTTGATATACTTACTTGATAATAGTAGACATGTGTTCTTTTTAAAGAAATAACATTGTCCTTTTTTTGTAAACAAATTTTGGATC